TCCCGCCTCTTTGTAGCATTTACATTGCTACAATTATAATGTATTTTCCCATCTCCTTTTAAACCATGAGCACTGTGAAGGCAAGAATTTCAACTTTCTTTCCCTAGTGTCTGTGTTCTGTAGTGTGTAGCACACGGAGAGCTCAGGAAAAATTTTAATGAGTAAACAGTGTATGAATTTATAAATTCATGGATCTGTGGAACCCATAGACCAGTCTACCCTCGTCTTCCACTCTATGCCTTGCATAAGGAACTTAATGATCTATCATGTCAGTACTGAAAGCTACTCATGATGTCAAGGACCTTCTAAACAGAAAGCCACCTGGTCCACGCATCATTTCTTCTTCTAAGATGCATCTGCCATTGAAAGAAAGAACAAATATTAGCATCAGTTTTGTGTGTAATACTTTTGGGCAGGAAGGCAAACATAATTAGATATCGTTTAAATGGAGTAAGCACATAGTAAAGAAAGCAGATGAGTTTGTGACTCAGATACTGTTAGAGGATACTTCAGTAAGAAAAAATACACAGCAGTTGTTTAAACAAGCCAGAAGCATGTTTCTCCTTTATGTAAAAGTTCAGGAACAGTCCAGTAGCAAGGTTCTGCCCCGTGAAATCTTTAGCTCACGGCACCATCCTTCCCTGCGTGTGGCTCATGATTCTAGGTGGTCACATCCACCTCCGTGCAGCAGAGTGAAGGGAGGATGGAAAGCAAACACCAGTTTTCCTACAGAAGACTCCTAGAAACTGTCACAGGACATGTCAGCATGCATCTCATTGGCCAGGACTTAGTCCCATGACCACACATAACCATAGAGGAAGTTGGGGAAAATAGTCTTTATTTTGGACAGCCAACTGTCCAGCTAAAAATTATTTTACTGGGGCATGAGAGAATGCGAACACGTGAGGTCCAGTTAGAAATCTGCTGGCTACACTGACACACGCCTGTATTCCCAGCAGTCTGGGAGGTTAAGGCGGGTGAATGGCAAGTTTGGGCCCAGCCTAGGCATCTTAGTGACTTAGTGAGACACCACCTCAAAATAAAAAAATATGGAAAGAAAGAAAGAAAGAAAGAAAGAAAGAAAGAAAGAAAGAAAGAAAGAAAGAAAGAAAGAAAAAAGACCTGGTAATATAACTCAGTGCAGAGACTCTCAGTTCAATTCCCAGTACTGCAAAAAAAAAGTCTCTACTACAGATACTAAAACTAAAGTGTTCAGCTGCAATTATAGAGGTGAGCTTCAGTGGTTAAACCACTGTGCAAGGGTTGCACTCACTTCTGCACTGGTTTTCAATGTCTAGGGTGTGGGGGGAAAAGCTGGAAAGGAAAGAGCCGTTACAAGGAAGTCTGGAGGAAGAAGGCCCTGGCAACAGGAACAGGAAGAAGGAAAAGCACAGCGCTGGCAGAATCGCAGGACAAAGGGCTCAGATGCTGAAGGAAAAGGAGCTAGAGGATCTTGAATGACTCTCAGCTTTATTTTTTTTTTGTGGGGGGATACTGGAAATTGAACTCAGGACCTTGCGCTTGCCAGACAGGCTCTTGTCCTGCTGAGCTGAATCCCTGGCACGACTCTGAGCTTTGAAAGCAAATTGGACCTTAGTAACTGGACTAAAAAGGGGGTTGTGGAGACTACTTTAGACTGGCAAAGGCAACTGCTCCAAATTGCCCCTTACTCTCTCCCTCTCTTTCTTCTTGTCATGAATTTTCTGTTGAATGGACTGACGGAGTTAATAAACTTCCCCAAGTAGTTAATCTTTCACAAGGAAAATTTAACAGATCTTAGTGACTTATTCTAGCGAGTTATAATGTCCTATCTCCTACCTAATTCAGTACACAGCACTCCTTAAAATAATCCTAAGTTCTTAAGGAATTTTTAAATTAAGTTCATTGGTACAATTTAAATATACATATTGATCACACTCATCATAGGGAATTTGTACCCGTACGTGCTACATCTTGGTGCCTCTTTTTTTCCCATTCCCCTCCCCTCCCTCATTTTTAACTCAAGTACCAGCATTTTTCACTTGGCTAAGCTGAGTTCACTATGTAGAAAGTGGACTTGGTATTACTTTCTTTGCCAAATTGTTTAGAAGTTTAAAATACATTGGTGTTTAAAGAAGCTGGCACAGTGCCTGATCAATAGATGCTAGTTTTTGTCTCTTCCCAAAGTACGTTTTTATGCATCCATTCAACAAACATTTATTCATCATTTACTATTCCAGACACTGTACTAAGTGCTGGAGAGAGGACAGATTTGAATTTAGTCAGAAGAAACAAAGCTATAATTTTGTTTTCCATTTCTGAGTGTAGAACTTACAGTGCTGATTTTATACACCAGAGTTCCTGCCCACTGGAACAGTACATGGACTGGCAGCTTGTAAGGACAGGAACATGTGTTTGTCACCTGTAGGGTGCCAGGCCTCAACACATGTACTTTTTAAACATGTGAATGAGCATATGACCAACATCCAAGCAAAGATGTCAAAAATCTAAAAGTAGGACTAGAGTCTGAAAACTGGCTGGTCATGGATGTTCAAACATTGCCAGGGAAATTCCATGGAAATTGAGTGTCTGCTGGGTACACCTTCTGTGTGAGGCCCATGCCCGCTGCTAGGGGGACTGCTTGAGACCCCTAAGAGGCAAAAGACAGCATATAACAATGGTATGGAGCCTGGGTTCTGGAACCAGACATATATGCACGTGACTATAATAAGGCTTCCAAAAGGAGAGTTCCAAGGTCCAAGATATAAGAGCCCATCTTCTTAGAGATGGCCCTTCCTAGCCTGGCAGTTCAGGCCTAGTCAGCCTCCCAAAGGGATCCTGTAAGTTTCTCACTGAGTGAGTGTGGTTAGGTTCACATAGGCTGAAATTCAGTGTTCTCTACTCCTGCAGACCATGCCCACCCCAGATGGACCTCTTTTCTGCAGTTATACCAAGGCCCCACGACTCACCACATTTATGGACCTCTGAAAGTTGGAAGATTCAATGTTTTCCAGCCCAAGTTTGGGCCAGAGTGGCCAGGGAAAAGGCTAAATATGTGGGAGAGCTAATATATATTTTAAAAGCCTAAGACACTTGAGGAAGGAAGGAAGTTCAGCAAGGCTGGAATGTGATATTCAAGATAAGGCCAGAGAGAGAGTGAAGCTGGAAAGGGTTCTGTCACAGCTTGCATTTTCCATGAGTTTACTAGTTGTGCTAATGGCTCTCGGCACATTATTTTACTAAGATCACAGAAATTAATGGCCTGCCCCAAAATTTCATGTACTATGAGAGTTCATGAGAAGTAGCAGAACTATGATTCAAAGCCAGGTTTAACCCCAGAGCCTCTGCTTCAAATCATTGGTTGTACCAGATGTAAAGATTTGCAATAGTGGATTGCAAAGAAACCAAACTGAAGCAGGGGAGGCTAGTTAGGAGGTAGGTGACAGAAATCCAGGTAAGAAATAATGAGACTTGCAGTGGCCCTGGAGATGGAGAAGAGTAGATGAGTGCCCGAGATATTTAGGAAAAAAGAACCTATAGGACTTTGTGATCGTCTTAGTCACTTTCTCATTGCTAAGACACAATACACAGTTCTCACAACTTAAAGGAGCAGTTTATTTGGGTGGAAGTTTCTGGAGGGTTCAGTCCAAAGTCACTGACTCCAAAGTCAAGAAGTACATGGCCAGGGGGCTGGGGATTTAGCTCAGCGGCACGGCGCCTGCCTGGCAAGCGCGATGTCATGAATTCGATTCCCAGTACCAGAAAAAAACAACAACAACAACAAAAAGAAGTACATGGCCAAAGGGTCTGGCAGAGGAAAGCTGCTCCCATCACGGCATCCAGGAAAAAGAGAGAAAGTAGGAGCTGCAGAGGGAGATCCTGGTACACCGGTCCAAGGCACACCCCCAGCAACCTGCCTCCCGTGCCCAGCACCCACCGACTAACAGCAAATCAGATGTAGCATTCCCATGGCTCAGCCCTCTTCCAAAAGCCCCACCTATGCATGTATGAGGACTTCGGGAAACATCCTGAGTATAAATCATAACACTGATTGAACGTAAAGGGTAATGATGAGGAGAGAGGAAGCCAAGATGACACCTAACTTGGGCTTCTTGTAGATGGTGTGTAATTTTCTGTGATAGAAAACAGTGAAGAAAGAGCAAGTCTGGGAGGGGTGTGAGTTTAGGGCTTGTTCAACCGAAACACCCTGAGACTTTGAGGTGGAGGTAGCTGAATGACAGTTCAGTGCTGGCCCCTTCACCTCAGGAAAGGCTGCACAGTCAGACAGTAGCACTATGTCATTGGTAACCAGCCCATAGGGTGGATAGGATAGGAAGCAGAGTAAAGAAAGCAGAGTTTTTACTAGGGCAGTCATGCTATAGAAGAAGGGTTTTTCATAGACCCAATGGTCAAAGTTTATTAAAAAACATCTGATTCACAATTTATCTCACTACAAGAACTGTTCTTCTAAGAGTGTCACATTATAAATTGGAGTCAGCAATCTGCACAAAAGGGGGGCATCACAAAAAAATTTTAAAATAAGCGGTTTTTTTCTGACTTTTTTGTTCTGTTCCAAGTCTCACTTAAACTTAAATATATTTTGTTCTGTGTTTTATATAGGAATATGTGTGCTGAATAAAACATCATTAATATTATAGTAAAAGGATCATTAATATTATAGTAAAAGGATCTGCTACCAGTAAACCCAATTCTGTGCATTGTTCAGGTAGAAGAATGAGTGGAGAACACCCCAAAGGTCACACCAGTGGAGGCCTTACCTTATCAACGGCCTCTTCAAAACATGGCCTCTCATAACAGAATACAGTCCTTCAATGATGTGGGCAATTGAAGTGTTCTGAATCTCACATGCAGCGCTATGAAACCGTGATGGCAAAGTCGTGGCTTTTCCATCTGCTACCCCTGAGGCCCCCTAAATTGACATTCTGAGGCACATCTGTGGCAATCATCATAATAAGATGGGATGTCGATTTCACTGAGTCCATTTTGCCCTTTTCTTTTAGAAAGCATCACTGACAGCCTCTACAGGATGTGGCCTCTGAAGACCCAACGACCACCCACCCTACCTGTCTGCAATGGAGAAGGCAGAAATGGAAATGCAAACACCAGGGCTTCCATTCTGTTCCTGATCGCTCTGTAGACACGCATCCCCACCGCAGGGCATGAGCTGCACCAGTGGAGAAAGTTCTCGGGGCCCCCAGACCACTATCATCATTATGTCTCTGGCCTGGAGAGAAGGCAGGATCATGGCATCTTGTGGCTGCTGTTTGGTCCTCTTGGCCCTTACCTGGCAGGTCTCTGCCTATGGGCCTGACCAGCGAGCCCAGAAGAAAGGAGACATTATCCTTGGTGGGCTCTTCCCTATTCATTTTGGAGTAGCAGCCAAAGATCAAGGTCTAAAATCAAGGCCAGAGTCTGTGGAATGTGTCAGGTAAGGGGGAGGAGCTGAATCTGACAGTCTTTTCTGGGTAGTTGGAAAAAAGCAGTACCAAACCCAAAATGGCTTTTTAAAACTTAGGTCTCCCTTTTCAAAAATGCTGGTTCCTAATCATGCTAAAGCTTATTGCCAGGCCGGGCATGGCGGTGCACGCCTGTAATCCCAGCACTCGGGAGGCTGAGGCAGGAGAATCGTTAGGAGTTTGAGGCCAGCCCGAGCTACAAAGTGAGCTCAAGGCCAGACTGAACTGCATAACAAGACCCTGTCTCAAAAAGACAAAAATAAAATAAAATAAAATAAAGCTTATTGCCATCTCCTCTTTCTTGCTTAAAACGTTTTTTTTTCCAAAACTAAAATGTCAAAGGTACCCAGTAGAAAAATCCATCTCCCGTTAAAAGCCCAGCCCTTTGGTAGCCAGGTCACCACTTTTCACCCACCTGATGGTAGCACCTGTGATAGTGTGGCTTAACGAAAGACTAAGTACCTAGAAGGAAGTGCACTGTAGCTCTTGCAAACTTTAGCAGTAAATTCCCCCCCAAGACCTTACATGCCTCGGTAGTCAGTAATACCTGAATGTTGGCTGGCTTTCTCTCTCTCTCTGTCTCTCTCTAGCCCATAGCCTTTTGAAGCTGTTCCCATTAAAAAGACCTTTTCATAAAAAGCTGAACCCCTGCCTCCATCACCACCCACCTGACCTTGGCCTCACCCAACCCCCACAAACAGAATACAGTTAATATAGATTGAGCAGTGCAGGCTGCAGAATACGCCTCTCAGTGAACTCTTGCCTCAGCCGCTTGAAGATAGCAAATATGTTCTAATAAATCTTTTCTTCTCTAGCCAAAACAGTCTCATTTCTCTCATCAGTCACGTTCCTCCAAGACATGATTTACAGATCCCTCACTGTTCTGGCTGTCTTCTACCTGATGCTCTCTATCAGACAGGGTTTACTAGAGAAACAGATATGACACAAGATATACAAATGCACAAGAAATTACAAGTTTGGCTTACAATGGTCAGCCACAGAGCTGGATGAGGAAGCTCCCAGAGGGTGTCTGCACGCTGGAGATTGAAGAGTCCAGACCAAGGCCTGGGGCTCACTGCAGTGTCTGTGCAAGTCTGTATCAGGAGGCTGATAGGTGTACAATGGAATGATAAAGAATCTATAGCAAAGCCAGAGAGTCTACACCAGAAGCCTGAAGAGTTCTGGGTGGATGCCGAAGAGTCTACACCATAAGCCAGGAGATGACCAAGCTGAAGGCAAAGACTGGCGTTCCTCTGAAGAAGCAGTAATCAGTCTTTTTTTGTTCTTCTTATTGTATGCAGCCTACCCACCCTGGTCAGGGGGTGCTCTTTTATACCTACACCATCTCCATGCAGTTTTCTTGCACAAGCTCAGGATGAATACAAAGTAAGGACTCTGGCTCTCTGCTGAGTCACATAGTTAACCTTTTAAACTTCAAGCTGACACAATGAACAACATCCTAGAGCAGGAAGGGCATGTCTTTTTTACCTCAGGGTGTAGGACTGCTGTCACTTAGTTAAGCTTTTAGACTCCTCAGGTTAACACAATGTATCAACCATAACATGTTCCCTAATTTAGCATGACCATTTTACAATATGGAATTCAGGGGCAGATCACTCTGTAGGAGGGTGTGACCTCCTCTGAGTAAATGACACTGTATCACTTCCTTAATTGGGACATCAGCAGCCATGACTGCCCTCCAAGGCCTGACCCAGCTTCTCAGAGAAAGTAGCACTTCCTATTTGAGACTAGCAACTTCTAGAACGGATTCAGCACTTCCTTTGATCTTCTGGATACCTGGAAAATGAAATAAAAGCAGGATTATTCAACACTGGATTTCTGTTTATGTTCTAGTGAGAGCCAGTATATTAGATAATGTGTGCACATATTTTTTATGCAAGAAGAAAAACTAAGTGCAGAATTTATGTTGACTGTATCTTTCATATGACCCATGTGGACAAATATTCCATGTCATTACTTTCTGGGCAGAGTGGTGTATATACCATGTATATACAGAGCTAAGATCAAGTAAGACACTTCTTTAAGATAATATGATTTTTAAGTATATTGAAAAAAGATAGCAAAATCAGCTTAGCAATGATTTTATATAGGGAAAACTTTTTAATATATCTTAATAATTTTTCAGGTTAAAACCAAGTAATTAAACAAATAAATGAAGGAAACATAAAGAAAAAAATTAGTGACCAAATTCAGTAGCATAGCTGGATAACAAGTCAATACTCAAAAATCAATAGCATTCCTGTACACAAATAACAAACTCACTGAGAAAGAAATGAGGGAAACCACACCTTTCACAATAGCATCAAAAAAAATGAAATACTTAGAAATCAATCCAATAGAGGAAGTCAAAGACCTTTACTTTGACAACTATAATACCCCGAAAAAGGAGATTGAAGGGGATATCAGAAAATGGAAAGATACCCCTTTTCTTGGGTAGGAAGACTCAATATAGTGAAAATGGCCATACTCCCAAAATCGTTATACAGATTTAATGCAATCCCGATCAAAATATTGATAGCATATCTCACAGAATTAGAGAAAATAATCCTAAAACTCACTTGGAGCCAGAAGAGACCTAGAATAACAAAACAATTCTGGTCAACAAAGGCAAGGCAGGGGGCATCACAATCCCCAATTGAAGTTGTACTACAAAGCTATAAAACAGTATGGTACTGGCAAACAAACAAACAAAAAATAGATGTGAAGATCAATGGAACACGCAGGAACAATTCCAAACATACTCAGCCACCTTATCTTTGCAAAGGGGCCAAACACCTTCCCTGGAGGAAAAATAGCTTCTTTAATAAATGATGCTGGTAAAACTGGCTTTCCACACACTGAAGACTAAAACTAGACCCATGTCTGTCACCATACACTAAACTAAAATCAAAATGGATCAAAGATCTAGACATTAAAACAGAAACACTAAATCTGCTGGAAGATAGAGTATGTAAAATTCCTGAACACTTAGGCATAGGCAAAAACTTTATGAACAAAACCCCAGTCGTATGCGAAATATTACAAATAATCAACAACTGAAATGTCATCATACTAAAAAGCTTTTCCACAGTAAAAGAAACCACCAACAGGGTGAAGAGATAAACCACAGAGCAGGAAAAAGTTTTTGCCAGATTCTCCTTGTCTAACTCCCTAACCCTAACCCTAACCCTTCTTATCTAGAATATATAAAGAACTCAAAATAATCAGACACCCTCAAATTTAAAGACCCAATCCAAAAATGGGCATCCAGGGGCTGGGGATTTAGCTCAGCGGCAAAACGGCCTGCCTGGCAAGCGCAAGGTCGTGAGTTCGGTTCCTGGTACCGGAGAAAAACCAAAAAAACCAAAAAAAAAAAAACAAAAAACAAAAAAACAAAAATGGGCATCTGGAAAAAGTAAACATTTCTTGGATGAAAGAGTAGAAATGGCAAATAAATATATGAAAAAATGTTCAACATCCTTTATCATTTGAGAGATGCAAATTAAAATAACAGAGATTCCATCTCACTCCAGAAAGAGTGGTTATTATCAAAAAATCCATGAAGAACAAACACTGGTGGGGCTGTGGAGAAAAAATGACCCTTCTTCACTGCTGATGGAAATGCCAACTGGTGCAACCACTGTGGAAATCAATGTGGAGAGTCCTCAAAAAATGAAGACTAGCCAGTGATACAGCTCAGTGGTACAGCACCTGCTTGGCAAGTTCAAGGTCATTAGTTCAATTCCTAGGACCACAAAATAAAAGAACACACTAAAAAGCTTGAACTAGAGGTTTCACTTGACCCAGCTATTCCCCTTCTTGGTATCTTCCTGAAATAATCAAAGGCATCATATCACAGCAATATATGCACACCCATGTTGATAGTGCCACAGTTTGTAATAGCTAAATCTTGGAAACAGCCCAAATGCCCATTAACCAATGAATGGATAAAAAAAGATTTTTTTTTTAATACAGTGGAGTACTACTACTCACCCTTAGAGAAAGATAAACATGAGACATTCCTAGGTAAGTGGATTCACGTTGAGACCATACTCTTAAGTGAAATAAACTGGACATGTGTAAATATTGCAGTTTCTCTGGTATGAGAAATCAAAAGTGTAAATAAGGACCAAAATGTATAATAGATATTGTGAAATAGGAAGAAAATGTCCAAATGGGAAGGAGAACTAGGTAGGAGGGAGGGAGAAAGGAAGGAAGGGAAAAAAAAAAAAAAGAGAGAAAAGAAAGGGAAAATGGAAACAGTTTTTGTAAATAGGGAGGGCAAGACGGGTTGAAGGGAGGGGAGGGGAATGGGGATAATGAAGAATCAAGATATATCATGTACAGGTACAAACTCCCTATGATGAATGTGATCTTTATCTATATCTAAAATGTACTAATAAAAGTAATAGCTTTTTTTAAAAAACAAGTAAATGAAGGAAACATAAAGAAGCGAAGAGAAAATGTCATATTTACAGTGAGATGAGGAGCCTGATCAATGCAGTGGAGGATAACAGATCGGATTTCTGACTTCCTGTCACTGAGTTCAAGTCGAGAAACCCACAGTGCGGAGGGAGAGCCGGCCACCCTGCCAGCGGTCTTCCTGTGAACCCGGACACTCTGAGTCAGCACATTTATTTAGCCCTCCCATGGCTCCAAGGGCTGCTGATCGTGTGAGAACTGTATCACTGACTCTATTGGTTTTTGTTAATTTGCTTGATTTCTCCTTAAAATAGTGTTCTTCTTTGAAAAGCAGCGTGTGTTCATTTTTAAATATGATAAGCGCACGGTTTTAATGCTCCTTCCACCCCCAAGAAATAACCACCATGTTAGACACCTTTCATTTGTTTGCTTACAGACATGAGATCACTTGTTTCTCAAAATTTCCTCCTTGACCTCCAGGAATCTCATAATCTAAATTTATGTCTTGTCTGCAGAGCTGAGGTTATTTTTAGGCTCCCACATATTAATATCCTAATCTGGTTATATTTTCCCTGGTCCTTTTTCCTGTTAAATATGTGTGTTACTTTTATTAAAGAAGCTCAGATCAACCACTGCAAATTTTCTACTAGTGGAGGCAGAAATAAATGGTTCAGTGAGTTACTAATATCGAAGAATATTACTGGTTACTAAAGATTGTAAATCACTAACAACAGTCTCTGTCATTACTGCTCCTTAATTCTGAGAGGCACCAAGGTGAGACTTTTACCTACTATCTCGTGTCATCATCCTCATAGCCATCTTAAAGAGGCAAGTGGCACCCCCAATTTACAGAGAGGACTTTGAGTCTCAACAAGCCAGGATAAAACCCAGGGGTAGGAGAGCCATGATTCAAACCCAGCTCTGCCCAGCCCTTACTCCAGGACAGTTCACCAGCAAGCTTCCCATCGTCCTCTGCTTCTCTCTTCCAGGTATAATTTCCGTGGGTTTCGCTGGTTACAAGCCATGATATTTGCCATAGAGGAGATCAACAGCAGCCCGACCCTTCTTCCTAACATGACACTGGGATACAGGATATTCGACACGTGCAACACTGTTTCAAAGGCCTTGGAGGCCACCCTGAGTTTTGTTGCCCAGAACAAAATTGATTCTTTGAACCTGGATGAGTTCTGCAACTGCTCAGAACACATCCCCTCCACTATCGCTGTGGTGGGAGCAACCGGCTCTGGCGTCTCCACCGCGGTGGCCAATCTACTGGGGCTCTTCTACATCCCCCAGGTAGGGCTTTTCTCACGTGGATACTGTGGGCAGGAGTGACAGAGCAGACCTGAGAGGGTGCAGGTCATACCTATGGACATAAAGTTTGCTACTTTCCCCTCTCTGGATTTACACTGGCACCAAAGACCTTCAGTTGAATGGGAGCACTGTGTCATGACCTTTTGGGATTTGTGCCAACTAAACGTACTCTTCCAGAATCCTTCAAATGTACACTGTATGTACACAACCTTGTCTCTTTTCCCCAGGGTTTAGCTATTTATCTTCCTCCTCAGTGCTTTAGCACATGACTTTGCTTTTGCTTTTACTAGAAGGACTAAGACCATCCTATGTAAATCCCAACTTTGAAATGAAAAATATCTGTTTGTAATTGTTTCCTCAAAATCTACTTCTTTACCATCTGGTTAAAAGTTTAGCTCAGAGATAAATAGAGCACAGTTTCTTACAAAACAGGAACTTAATGATTGTCTTGCTCATTCAAGAACTGGCGACAAGTCTAGTGCATTTGACAAATATTTATAGAGCATAAGAACAAGCAATCTCCATAGGGCAAGAGCTGAGCCTGCATGGGGAGGTAGTTTCATTTTCAGATACTAACAGCTCACGAAGCAAGTGCTTTGGTAAACATTTATTCAGTGTTGCATTTTTCCACCCTAAAAATGACAGGAAACTCCAAATGCCATTTTATTACTTGATTTTCCCCTCTTAACATGGTAAAGAAAACCTTTTTTCCATTTAATATCTATAGCTGTGTGACATCACTTTATGGTAGTAAAAACATGGAAACAACCTAAATGTCCATAGATAGGAGAATCAGCTCAATTGTGATTTAACCTTCATATCAATTTTTAAATTGAATTATAAATTACCCTTTGCATTTATTTTTTCAATGTTTAATATGCAACATTTGCATTTTAAGTGCATCTTTAACAAATTCACATTTCTCTGTCGGGAAGACTCTTGGTGAGAGTCATTATCTGTTAGATACATGTGACAACAGAAAAAGCCTTTTCACCATTTACTGAATCTTTACTTCAGGGAATTAAAGGTGTTCCCCATGGGGAAGCTCTGGCTTTGTAACTTTTGTGCCAGACTGATTTGACAAAGCCTACATTAGTGAATGTGTTGGGCATATTTAAATTTAGCATACTGTGCAACATTATTTTAAATACACGGCTAAAATAATCTGGTACCCCTTAATCAACAAGCATAAGAGGTAACTACTATCAAGTACAAAAAAACAGGAAAGGAAGGGTCTTCCTTCTGCAAGGTTTAAATGAAAGATAAGGTAAAGTTGAATTTCAATTATAGAAGTACTGAGAAGACAGTAATGATTATCAAACTTTTATTAGTTTGTCTAGAGGAATGGTTCTCTGCCATGGCTACCAGTTGGAGCCAGTTGAGGAGTTTTTAAGATACTCATGTTGTACTCTGGTTTTGCTTCAGGTTGTATAAATCTTTCACTTTAGTAAGTACTCATGCCTGGGTCCCACTCCTGGAGATCATGGCTTAATTGAGCTGAGACACAGCCTGGCTCTGGAGCTTTACAAGCTCTCCAGCAGATTCTTCTTTGCAGCAGGGCTGGGAAACAATGTTCTGCAGGGAGGGGTCAGTTGCACAGTGGCGTTTCCTATGCCAGTCACGCCACCAAGTGGATGGACAAAGCAGACCAGCTAGAGAAACCATAGTTAGAGCAGTTTTCTAAATCATTCACGAAATTCTTCTCTCTAACAAGAAAAATCTTGTATATTTTTAAGGGTTTTTCAGCGAGGGAGGCAGAAAGTGTTTACCCCACTTTATAGATGACCATTTGAAAACTGGTCAAATATTATAAATATGTTCTTCAAGAGAACATATTCATGAGAAGCATTTGTGCTTTTAATTTGTATCCCTTTAAAACCCTTTTTGGTCAATTTTTCAAACGGATATCAAGGAAGCAAGTAATCATAGATGGACCTCCAGGTAACAGACAAAACCTAAGCTGCGATTCTGCCTACAAAATAGTGGGTTTTGTGTTTGCAAAACTCTGATTCAGAGGCCTGTTATTTGAGTTAACAAGCAGAGATTTCAAAAACCAGTAACATCCAAACAAATTACTTAATCCAACCACCTGCCTCATGAACTTGTGTGGTAGAGCAAGAAGGGCTTACTCTGATAAAAGGAAAAATGTCAGTTTCCTATTATAGCTCCTGAAATCAAAAATCTTGTCAGAAAAATCATGCGTACCCTTTAGCAAATTTGGTTCTGTTCTTTCACAAATCAATCCCTTTTAGGTTTTTAATGTCAACATCATTCATTGAATTCAAAAAAAAGCATACTGGAAATTTTTATGTAAAAGCATTAAACATAGAAAACTAATTTTTTACCTGGCAAGAATTATTAAAAGTGTATCCCCACAAATCTCTTCAACATGTGTTAAGTTTTAAAACTCTCTAGAAAACTAAAGAATAAGAGGTAGGAAACAGTACTTTGTTTCCTAGAGGAAATTTCAGAAAGAGTGAAGATGTTCTTCAGAATAGATGGTCTAATAACTTGAGCTCCCTAACCGGTGAGCCGTGGTGAGCATAGCACCACCCATGCGCCCACCAACACCAAGGGTTACTAATCCTCTCAAGCTCTGAGATGTCCAAGCGGGCATGAAGCAGTCAGAGCACATTCACCAGGGATAACCAGTATCCTCCATTTATCCCGTCCTCTATACCATGATAAGGAAAAGCATCGGGGAGCCCTGCACTTACTAGTGGGATGTGGTCACTTTAGGCAGTGCTGCCTTAACATCGAAGGCGCAGCTTTCTCTCCTTGGTGGTACACACCCATGTGCAGAGGTAGAACTGCCTGTGCCTTACACAGTGGGAAAATATCAGTGCAGCTTCTTCAGGGGTTCTTTTAAGCCTCTGTAAGGTTCGGGAGAGCTGTTTGTCAAGTGGACTTGGCCATCACAACAAAGAAAAAATACTCAGAATGGTGGATGAACCACAAAGGAGTCAGGGGAGGAGAGAATTTTTTCTAACAATACTGAATGATGTTCATTGCTGTTGTGGTACAGGGGAATTGAGCCTAATGAGCCTAAAGAGGTTAATGGAGATAAACAGTTTTCAGAAATTACTGTAATTAAGATTGCTTTTACCTGAAGTATGGGGAGGGGGTATATTTGGAGGATGAGGGGCAACTGGAGGACGATGGGAAGAGAAAAACTGGGCAGACCAGGAAAAGGAAATCCTTGGAGCTTTCCTGAAGAGCCTTAAGTTTATAACCCATAGGAAACCTGATCAGAGGAGGTTCATGAGCAAAGTGCTCATCACAGTAAGGGGAAGCTGTGATGTTCAGATCAGAACACGAGCCCAGCAGGCAGGTGTGTACATGGATATGTTACAACCAGTGAGGCGACGCAGAGAAGGTTAGAAGACACATGAGAGAGTGCCTAAAGAGTACCCCAGAAAAGGTAAGTACGTCCCACTATTGCTGGGCCAGCTGCACAGCCAGACCCATTTTTGAAGGTAGCATCATGAAGAGTCACCCATTGGGAGCTAGGAGCGCCTCCGTAAACTGGCAGGTGTTTGGTTTCCATCTGGGATGGAACAGATTCTGGTTTTCCTCATCCTTTTATTCTGCCCACAGTGAACAGCACATCTGAGAAATGAGATTAAATTATGCTCAAAAAACGACCTCTACAAAAGCCTTGAGATTCAGCCGGGACCTCCCTCCCTCATTCATTCATTTTGTGTTCTTGGTTTTTTTCCAGGTCAGCTACGCTTCCTCCAGCAGACTCCTCAGCAACAAGAATCAGTTCAAGTCCTTCCTCCGTACCATCCCCAATGATGAGCACCAGGCCACAGCCATGGCAGACATTATCGAGTATTTCCGCTGGAACTGGGTAGGTACCATTGCAGCTGATGATGACTACGGCCGGCCGGGCATTGAGAAGTTCCGAGAGGAAGCTGAGGAGAGGGACATCTGCATTGACTTCAGCGAGCTCATCTCCCAGTACTCTGATGAGGAAGAGATCCAGCATGTGGTGGAGGTGATCCAGAATTCCACAGCCAAGGTCATCGTCGTTTTCTCCAGCGGCCCCGACCTAGAACCCCTCATCAAGGAGATCGTCCAGCGCAACATCACAGGCAGGATCTGGCTGGCCAGCGAGGCATGGGCCAGCTCCTCCCTGATTGCCATGCCTGAGTACTTCCACGTGGTGGGAGGCACCATTGGGTTTGCTCTCAAGGCTGGTCAGATCCCAGGGTTCCGGGAATTTCTGCAGAAAGTCCATCCCAGGAAGTCTGCCCACAATGGTTTTGCCAAGGAGTTTTGGGAAGAAACATTTAACTGCCACCTCCAAGAAGGTGCTAAAGGACCTTTACCCATGGACACCTTCCTGAGAGGTCATGAAGAAGGTGGCATCAAATTAAGCAACAGCTCCACTGCCTTCCGACCCCTCTGTACAGGGGAGGAGAACATCAGCAGTGTTGAGACCCCTTACATGGATTACACACATCTACGGATATCCTACAACGTGTACTTAGCGGTCTACTCCATTGCCCACGCCCTGCAGGACATATATACCTGCTTACCTGGGAGAGGGCTCTTCACCAATGGCTCCTGTGCAGACATCAAGAAGGTGGAGGCGTGGCAGGTGAGTGCAACCTAGATAGTAGCTCACCACATAATGAGCCAAAGTGGACTGATGCAGGCAAGACATAGTAGTTACTTCAGAAAGGCAGTATCTAAATGAGGCCACTAAATGTAATTGTGCACTCAAGGGATCTTTTCAAATGTCTAAGCAACTGACTTCTGCAAAATTGATAGTGATTACTTTAACTAACTGTTTAATGCCACAGCTCAATTGTTCATTAATCCAGTGGCCCTAACGTATGGCCCTTAAACATTTTCAAATCTGGGACACATTCAATGCGAGATGGTGCGTTTTTTTAATGCCTTGATTAAAGATAGCGTTCCCTTGTGAGTAACCAGTATTTGTCAAATGCTTAGTGCATGCAGTATATTAAGGGGTATAAAACTCCTGCTATGTGTTCACATACTACTTCTGCCTTTGTATTTCTCACAGCTGTGCTAAACCACCCACCCAGCGAACTAAACACAACCTAAGCACACAAGCATATCGTGATGCAGAAAGGAAACGCTTCTATAAGAATTCAATATTGAACATTTCAAGAGATGCACTGAAGCTGGGTGTGGTGGTGCATGCCTATAATCCCACTATTCGGGAGACTGAGGCAAGAGGATAACCACAAGTTTAAGGCCAGAATGGACTACATAGTGAGTTCAAGGTTGGCCTTGGCCTGAGTTATATAATGAGACCCTGTCTCAAAAAGAAAGAAATCACTGATAGAATCAGAACTTAAGTAAAGGGTCTATGCTCATTTTATAGTTTCTAGTTTTCAATTACACATAGGAGGGATACCGTCATGGTTTTCATTTGGTAAAACTTCTGAAGAAAACAGTCTTTGACTTGTACCCTTTATAGCTGTTCCTGTCTTGCATATGGTCCTAGTTTTGCCAATCAAACTATGGTTTACACTCTTTGTATGTTTTTCTCAATTCCAGATTAACCTATCAGAAAGACAATACAATAGGGTGGTAGTTCCTTGAATTTGAGTCAAGTGATCTAGCCCCCAGCTTCCTCTGTAGCACCCCATTCTGACCCTTGCGACCTTGGGTCACCACTCTAAATCGATTTCTTCCTCTCTAAAAGGACCTAATGATACCTGGCCTACTGTTCACCCTAGGTGTTTGGAAAATGACATGAGATGACATATATGAAAGCAATTTGTAAACTTTTGAGCTCTAAACAGATGTGTGATTATTACAATATTTTAGTATGTTCCTAATAAATTAATCAGCTAAGCAAAAACAATGCAGGATTTCAAAACAAGATGATAGGAATTAACAATGCTTGTTATATTACATATTATTATCTTCAGCGAAGTTACTCAGATTACCAGATGTAAGAATGCAAGATTGATCAAACAATTAAAGACAGTAACAATTAATAAAAAACATTAGAAACGATACAGAGCTTCAGATCAGAAATGCAGTCTTTCTTATAAGGGAAAGTCTCACCCAAGTTGCCCAAAGTTTCCAACTTCTGCAGGATACTCAAAGCTTACTTCTTCACACTGAATCCCTATCCTGGGAGACAGAGGAGCTCAAACGAAGGTCAAAGACTACAAAAGACTTTAGGAGCAGTGATGCTATGGTGTAGGATTTTAAGTAGAAGGAATAAAAAAGGACAATTTGGGGGTGGTAAATACTATTGTACTTCCTCTCTTCACATCTATGTCCAAGCTCTTGAAAAGCCTACAAGAGCAGGGTGGGGCTGAAGGCAAAAGAGGCTTCTGGTGGGAACTTGGCTCCTCAATAACTTCTCCCAGACAAGAGATAAGACTCAGACTATCAAGCAGATATTGGATCTCCTAGGGTGGGGAGCGCAGGAGGAGGCTATAGTAAAGATTGGGACTTTTAGCTGTAACAAGAAAACAGACCAAATTGAACAAACAAACAAAAAAGTGGAAATGTAGTAGCTCCTGTTGTCAAAAGTCTCAGAAGTATTTCAGGGACCTCTAGATACCTTCATCTCCTTCTCTCTCTTCCTTATTGCCCAGGATTAGTTCTTTTCAGCCTTTGCCAGGATGTCCTTACTTCCCAGGACCTCCAGTAAAAGACCCAGACATCATGTGGATTGACCAGTCTGGGCCACAAATCCAATCCTGATGCTAGGAGTGCTTTCATACCACAGAAAGAGAGGGTGGAGTTCATCTCCAAAGTGAAATTAGGAGACTGCTCTCACAAGGAAGAAGAAATAGGAACAAAGCAACCAAAAATTAAAATGTCCACTACACAGACTTTTGCCCAGGTAAAACATATGTCCTGGCACAATTCGTTTAGAGAGGACATAAAAATAGGAAACTGGGATTAGAGCTCTAGGGAGGGCTAACAACTAATTATCAGCTACAATTACAGTGAGAAAGTTCCCATGTTGTTGAGAAATTTTTTTTTGTACCGGGAATCAAACTCAGGACCTTGTGTTTGCCAGGCAGGTGCTTGTGCCGCTGAGCTATATCCCCAGCTGTTGAGAATTTTTATCAAGCATTTATCAATGCTTTTTCTGTACCTGCTGACACTATCATATGATTACTCTTTTGTAGTTCATTAATATAGTCAAATCTTGCATTCCTGAGATTAAACCCTAGTTGGTCACAATGTATTCTCCTTTTTGTACATGGCTGGGTTTGATTTAATAAAATCTCCTGTGGCAACCTTTCTTCCATGTTCATGAAGAATATTAATGTATATTTTTAATTTCTTGCAATAGCTTTGTGTGGTGTTGGTATAGGAATAATGCTAGCCTCAGAATGAATTGAGCAGCATTACCTCCTTTTCAATGTTCTGGAAAATTTGGATAGAATCAGTACTCTTTTTCCTTAAGTGTTTGGTAGAATACATCAGTGAAGCTGGTGATTTTCTTTGTGGGAAAATTTTGAACTACAAATGTAATTTCTTGAAGAGGTATTATGCCACTCTAGTTATCTATGAGTCAGCTTTGATAGCTTATGTATTTCAAAGACTTTGTCCATATAATATGGATTGTCAAATGTGCTGGCATTGATTTGTTTATAATTATTTTAATGTTCTCATACTATTCTTAGAATGTCTAGAGATCCCATAATGATATCACCTCTCTCCTTCCTCACACTGAAAATAGGTATTCTTTTTTCTTCATTAGTCTGACTAAAGATTCATCAGTTTTACTGATCTGCCCATAGAACTAGCTTTGAGTTTTAGTGATTCTTCTATTATTTTTCTGTTTCCTACTTCATTGTTTTCTATTCTAATCTGTACTATTCATTTTCTCTTGGTTTATTTGAATATAATTTGCCCTGATTTTTCTAGTTTGTGAACTAGGAAACTGAGGTCATTGATTTAAGGCCTTTCTTCACACAGACAGTTATGGCTATAAACTTCTCTCTAAATATTGTCTGAGAAAATTTTGATATGCAGTGTTTTCATTTTAATTCAGTTCAAAATACCTCCTGGATTTCCTTTTCATTTCTTCTTTGGCCCTTACTTTAATTTAGAAGTTTTTTGTTGTTGTTGTTTTTGGGTTTTGTTTTTGTTTTTGGGTTTTGTTGTCGTTGTTGTTTTGGTGGGTGTTTGTTTCCAAGTTTCTGGATATTTTCTAAATGACTTTGTTATTGATTTCTCATTTGGGGGCAAAGAACATACTTTGATCTGAATATATTTAAGTTTATTGAAACTTGCTTTATGATTCAGAATATGGTATATCTTAATAAATATTCTATGTGCTCTTAAAAGAAATACCAATTTTGCTATGCTAAGTGTTGTATAAATATCAGTTAGAAGAAATTGGTTGGTATTGTTGTCCAAGTCTTTAATATTTTTACTGGCTTTCTATGTGCTTGTTTTTTTTCAACTAATGCAGACACTACATTGGCCTTCTCTGATTTGCCTTTATCCTCAGACTGATAAAAAAATCCTCATTCTAGGGACCACTTGTCCACCTAGGAGGGCTGGACACCTCTAGGTTTAACATCTTCTCTATTAACCAAGTGCTGGACAGACATAGTTTGAGTCGCTAAAATTCAGGCTCTTCATAAATCATTTGAGAAGCAAATGTAATAAAATAGTGCCTGCTTCAGAGCAGCTTGGTCAAATAAATTGTGGGTGTAGAATTTCTTCTTTTTCAGTACAGGGGCTGGAACCCAGGACTTTGCAGATGCAGGTAAGCAGTCTACCACTGAGCTCTACCCTCAGCCCTGTGGGTATAGAATTCTTTCTCTGGATAAGATGTTTGCATTGCTACTGATTCCCTTTTGCATGTCCTTGTCTCTGTGCCTCCTGTGAAGCTAGACCTGCTGTGTCTCATTCATCAGCTCTCAAGGCCAGATATCCTACAGGTGACCTTGTTGTTAAGGTTCCTGCATACTGAAGAACGTCAGCTCCACCAGTGATGTCATATTTGGATTTACTAAATACCTTTCCATGCCTTGTTTTTTATATAACAACTTTATTGAAATATTACTTCTATAACATACAATTCACTCATTTAAAGTGTCAGTGACTTTTAGCATATTCACAGAGCTATGCAACCATGACTAAAATCCATTTTAGAACATTTTCACTACATGAAACAAAACTTTACACATTTTAGGTATCACTCCCTAGGCCCTCTATACCTCCATCTTTAAATAATCTACCTTCTGACCCTAGGTGATTGGACATTCATGCACATTTCATGCAAATGAAATGATAAAATGACTGGCTCCTTCCAGTGTGTGTTCTGAGCTGGGCTGCAGAAATACAAAACACCGTCCAGTCCTGCTGGAGTTTACGTGTGGATTAGTGTGATTAAACTTAAGACAAAAATATCCAGTGAAATAACAATTGCTGCAGAATAAAATAAAGTGACTGGCTCCTTCTACTTAGCCTAATACTGCATTTTCAACAATGCTGCACTATTACTAGTACTTCTTTCCTTTTAATGTCCAAATAATGTCTCTTTGTATGAATAGATCACACTCATTTATCCAAGCGGTAGACATTTGGATTGTTTCCATTTGGGGTTCTTATACGTAATGTTACTGTGAACATTTG